TTTGGTGATCTTTATGTGGTTACATTTACACCAAAAATGTTTAAAATCACAGCTATTGTCACTTTAAAAGCAATGTTATTTGGTTGTGTATTTGTTGGACATTCAAGATATTATAAATCTTCAAAACATTAGTTTTTTGATGGATGACTAAAGGTCAAAGTACTAGCAACAATTTTTTTACTCTCCCTAGTTGTGCCCGATCTTTATCTTTCACCAGATTTAATGTAACTGTTTAGTTTTAATCTCATTTGTTATTGTTTCTAGAGTGGACAAACACAACGAGTATATGCCGCGCAGGAGCAAGGCATTGTGACTGTGTTTTCAAGACGTGTGGAAGAAAGCGTATCAATGAGAGTCAGCTGGAATGCTCATGACGATCAAAATGATTGGGTTATAGCCAAGATATTGAGTATCGGTCAAGAGGAGGAGGCCTGCAACTGTGTGCAGCTAGTGAAGAACGAGTTATGGGTCGGCTGTGGGAGCATTATTAAAACTGTTAACACCAAACTGCTACTGGTCGAACACAAGATAAGTCATCCGGCACTGGATAGGTTGGAGGTCATTGAACAGATGGATTGTGGGTATGACGGGGTGTGGTGTTCCAATAGCAGTTCCTCAGTTTTAGTGTTGGTTGATGTGAAGACACATCGCGTTACAGAGGTGTTCGAGTGCGGTATTGTCAGAGTTGGTAAAGTGATTAAGAAAACTTTAGATGAAGTTTCATCAGCTGAGGCTAAGCGATTTAGCAACCCATGCAGTGATGCAGGGTCTCAGACTGATGAATTTGAAAGATATTCAAATCTGACCAGTTCATTTCCTCAGAGGGGATCACAAGAACGGACTGGAAGACGCAATGCCATGAGATCCAAAAGTAGTGTTGACATTCGACAAGAGTTAGCTGCTGGGACAGTTTCAGTGATGGCAATCAAAGCTATCAAAGACACATTATGGATTGGGAGAAGTATTGGTGATGTTGTCATTGTTTGTGTCAATCCAGATAGTCGCCATGGTTACCAATATGGCCAGGTTTTGGCGGTTCTGTCAGCTGAATCTATCAAAGGCTACAGGGCTGGTAGTGTACATCAGATCATATCCACGGAAATTGATAGGGTGGTTGTATCCCAAGAGTACCAATGTTTACATGGGGCAAGTACGGCAGCAAAAGATGCATTCCGAATCACTGTCTGGGAGAATTGGGGAACAGACGAGTTGGCACTGTTAGACAGTATTCATCAGAAAATAGAACAGAAAGATGAATGACTCTGGCCAACACAAGTCATACAATGTCAGTAGTATTTACATGTATTTTTTTTTTATGAACATATGTATGTTTGTTAATACAAATGTAATTGTTAGGGCTTGTGCCACTTAAAATAATCACTTTAGTATTCATAAGCCCGCTAATTGAAATGTATTTTTAACATTCAAGATAGATTTGTACCTACAATGTAGTTAAAAAAGTGCAATCTTTTTTTTTTAGCTCCGCTGTCTACTTTGTCGAGCGGAGCTTATCATATGAGTGA